GAATTCCAACCTCCGAAACCCCAAGAACCTCAACCCCAAAAAACCCGAATCAGGATCTTAGGCTTGGTTCTACTGGCCTTCGTTAGCGCGGCCCACAGTCCCGAAACCCCCAGGGGAATCAAAATCCTGAGATCTGGGGCTCATCCTGAATAGGGTTACAAATCTCACAGTTATTAGACTATTAATCTTCGCGGCTGAGTACCCTAGCCCCAAAATGGTTAACCTTTCAATTATGGTAGGATTATATAAGCCCAAAAGGTTAAAAGTTACCTACTCGGCTACTAAGGAATCCTTTCTCATCAAAAACAAAAGAAAAGCCAACACAACACAATGGCAACATTTAAGTGCCATGGTCTTATTATGATGTTGCTGACGATGATCATGACCATCGTCGCCGATGTCATTGTCACCATGGTCTTCTTCTTTATCATCATCAAGACTCTTATGGCGGTAACGAGTCATGTTGTCACTTCAGGGCTTATGTGGCCTGCTTCGGCGGCCGTTTCGCCGAGAACCTGGCGTGCATTTCTCAGCAGCTACAGGGGAGGTGCAATGGCAGTCATGGTTAGGGATGATTTCAGGGTTCAGTGCTATACCAAACGGTGGCAACACGAGAGACCCCGCGAAAGAGCACGACAGGCCGTCAACAATTGCGCGATTCGAGGCATCACTACGTGTTGCAAAAGGGCCCACACGCCACACTGCAGCGAATTCGGCTTCCATGCAAAAGGCGTACTGCGGACGTCAGAACCCCGCAGCAGTAGCGCACTGTTCGTGGAACAAGAGAAAAGTCAACATGGAAAGCTTTTTTGTTTAACCCTAAACCATGATGCAGGTCAACTAAACGTCGAGCCGGCGAAGAAGACAGAACGGGAACTTTCAACTTTCGACTTTATGCATAACCGACAAAACATATTGGGCAGCAAACTCAATGCTACAAAACAGACGATGAAAGCAAACAGCATGTGCTACATTCTCGCAAAATCAATCAAGAACTCTCTTGAAGACAGCATAATTCAATGTCGACTGAGCACACTATAAAACCTCTGCCGGTCAATTGTCTGCTTATCTGCTCTGTAAACCCCGGCCTGCACACCAAAGAAAAACCCATGAAAAAAGTTCATTTCCCATATGACACAGGATTCTTGGAACACACAAAAAACAATGGAAAAACAACCAAGACACGGAACAACCCTAAACCCCAAACCCTGAACCCTCTTAGAACAAAAAAAACAATGGAAAAAAACCAAGACACAGAACGCCATGATTAGCAAAAACCACGGTGTTTCTCAGGGAACCCAACACCTTTTAATTAAGGAATGTACCTTAAGTTAGTAGGATCCCTAATATGATTTAAGGAATATACCTTAAATCATAGTATTAAGGTCCCTTGAGTTTAAGGTATATTCCTTACTTAATGGGGTTTTGGGATCTCTGGGTTCCTTCCCCACCTGTAGGCGATCCGGGGCCGTGGGAAGGCGGACGGTCGCCTGCTGCGTCTTCGGAGGCCATCTTGGTATATAAGTAAGCATATTAGGGTTTAGGGTTTAGGGTGGTATATAAGCAAGCATATTAGGGTTTAGGGTTTAGGGTGGTATATAAGTAAGCCTATCAGGGTTTAGGGTTTAGGAGTTTTGGGTGGCATATAAGTAAGCATGTTAGGGTTCAGGGTTTAGGGGTTTTGGGTTTTTGGGGGGTTTAGGGGCTAGGGTTTAGGAGTTTTGGTGTTTTGGGGTTTAGGGATAAGAGTGTTTTTGCGCAAGAAAGCTGCGGCTTAGGCTTACGGTTTAGGGCTTATGTGTTAGAGGGGATAGTCGTGATAGTCATACGAAGTGTACGTGGATGGCGATTCAGGAATCTGTTTATGCACATATATATATATACAGACATGTATATGCACAAAGGCTACAAAGACTTGTTTATACTCTTGCTAATGTCAGTGTTTCAAACCGTTCTAGCTGTGTATAGGTGTATGTATACTGTTATTTATATTCTAACCTGTATTGGGTCTGGGTGTTGTCTTTGGGGTGCAGATGGCTCAGGATTTCAGGCGTAAGGAAGTCCCATGGAGTCCCATGGTTGAGGCCTTAGCAATCAATTGGGGCTTCAGGGTTTGGGGTTTAGGGCTTTCAGGTTTATGATTCAGGCTTCAAGGTCCTTTTGGTTGTGGGGATTAACGTGTATGGCTCTTAATCCATTCAAAGTATCAAGGGGGTTCAGCAAGTTGTCTTCGCAAAACAGGTAGCTGTAATATTGGTTGAACGTTGTAAGCCCCGAAAGCCTTGAACCCTAAACAAAACGGCCCCAAACTCGAAAATCCTCAACCCTCCGTAGAACCACTGGTCCAAAAAAACCGTTGTGAACCCTACACCCTGAAAGAGCAAACTCCTGACGTAAAAATGAATCGCCAGTGCTACTTGCACGACCAGGACACACCTTAATGATTAAGGGTTTTGGGTATAGGTTTAGGGTCAAGATTACAAGATCCAACAGGGGGGTTGGCACAATACTGGGGATCCTTAGCGAATTTCAAGAAGCTTATGAGATCTGAAGCAACCTTACGGAGGAGGAAAGAGAATTAGGGAGTACCGGGTTATAGACCCCCTCCCGTACGGATCCTATAGTCAAAAGCTCTCATAGCTTTGTTACCTTACTTGTTAACCCTACTTACAAAGAACCGTCATGCTTGAAGTGCTTTAGGGGCCTATACAATCAATGGTATTCTTACTTAGAACTGCTTGCGAGAAATATGGCATGTTAATCTACCCCACAACTTTATCCTAACTTTTAGGGTCCCAACACGAAAACCGGGTTAATGGATTCTTTATAAGAACTCAGTTTTAATTTTAGTCACGAAAGCCCTTGTGGTAACCCATTAGGCCGTGTAGTAACCCCATATAGAACATTTGTTTGCCAATCATTACGGCCCCTTGTAGTAGCATTAAAGGTGTATAGCAACCCAAAATGGGCAGTTCAAATTAGATCCTAACCCCTAAACCCCAAATATCCCACACCCTTAACAGTCCCATAACCCTGTAAGCATTGAGACGTCCTTCTTAGTAGCCGGTGCCTTTTCGGTAGTTTCGGGATCGACCTCGGTCCTGCCGGGTGGGACTTGACAGGTCTGAGGATCCAGACCCTCGAAGAGCCAAGCGTAGGGAGGGGCCTTCATGAATAGAATCAAACCCTAAAGCCCTAAAAAAACACCCTAAAAGCACTAAAACCCCTAAAACAAAAACACCCCAAAACATCAAAAAAACCCAAAAACCCTAAAACTGGGGTTCCGGAAAATGTTCCAAAGGGTTGCTTCCAAAAAGGGGTTGCTGTTCAAGTGCCCTTGAAGGTGTCTGGGTGCAGGGGCCCTGCCATGGCCTGAAGGGTTTAGTGGGGTTTGGGTTTAAGGTTTGGGGTTTATCAATAGGGTTTGGCGTTCATTATTCTTATTGCTACTACTACTGCTACTACTCCTTCTGGCACTACTTTCAGTTCTCGGGCAGGACGACCAATTGGTATTCCCACTGTGCTTCTGATGCTGCTACTGCACAAGTTTACTGGTCGTTTGCATTGATTCAGTTTCACCTTTTGAGGTCGCATGTCAAGGCTGCAATCGGCACCATTACCTGCCATGATCACCATCACCATCATTGTCATCTCCATGTCCACGCTTTCCAGCGTCTGGTCCACCACGGCCATCACCCTTGCGCCGGCGCCCTCCTCGCCTTTTACCCATCCTGTCAAAAACTCCTGGCTGCGCTTCAGGCATTGGTAGTGGTTGTGCCATGGTTTCCTCCAGCAGGAAGTTGCCGAGCAACTCTCGCATTTTTGAGGCGCACTCCGAGGGCAGTTCAGACCCATTGGTAGTGCCTGCTGGTCCTGGAGTTTCTGGCGCAGAGATGGTAGCACCCTGTCTCCTCTAGCGGGTCCTGGCCCATAAGAATACGAAGATTACGAAGGTTAAGACTGTTTAGACTCACTGACTGGCAATACCAATGTAATAATGACCTGAACTCTGCGAAATGCACTGCAATTGGTAACATACCGGTCCTACGCACTAGAAATGCACTTCGGGCCCCAAGAAAGCACAGAAGCAAAACTTAGGATAGGGATATCCCATGTAAACCCTCTTATAGTGCAGCGCAATAAGGTACGGATATCCCTTCAAAATGCTTATGCTTTCGGGTCCACGTTACCATATCTGTGTATGGCGGTGCAAGGCTCTTTGTGGCTCGAGGTTCATGGCAGACGAATTTCGGTTTCAGGTTTGGGCTTACCAGCATCCCAAGCTGGCCTCACAGACTTCTTCGCTGAGCCCTAATACACTTCAACCATTGAAGTTGTAGGGATTCCAGAAAAGAAGTAGGTCACTAGAGGCTATAAGGCACAAACTTGGGCCTGTTGGGCTTGTGCGCTTCCTGTTGTTGAAGCTTGAGGTTCTACTTGGAGGCTCATGAGTAGTTGTAAGTAGGGTTAGAACTAGGATAACTATAGTTATAACCTATACTAGGGGACTTATAACTCCACTTATAACTACCCATGAACCTCCACGTAGGGGACCCGACAAACTCGGGAGATTCCTTGTCTAGGGCGTAAGGTTCTGTGCAGACCTGTCGTGTCTGGAAGGCCCCAAAATTTCGCCAGGGGATTCTTTGGGTGCACTTTGCTAAGGGGTTCAGGGTCTAGGCCGGCTGAGCATCCAGATCGACGTCAATAGTCTGCGCTCACACAATGACAGCCTGAATCAAGCCCAAAGCTTCAATTCCGAATCGGCCGATGTGTCGTATCTATGCATGAGTACTGCATTCAGTGTGTGTGTGTGTGTGTGAGATTTTGTACGATCAGGTCTTCAACTGCTGCGTTCTTGTCATATCCATCGCTCAAGTTCTGTGTACTTTTGTACACTTCTAGCGGGCTGCAGTTACCAAAACTAGGTGCACAGAGTAGCCTACAGCTGACGCAGCTGGAACCCTTAACATCTTCAGCAGGCAAAGCAAGCGGATGTCCCGACCATTGTCGTGACCTCAGAAGCTTCGTCCGTCGCTTCACCCTAAAGCCTAGGTAAGAACCGAGGCTTTTGAATCCTCGCGTTATTGCCACTTTTGATCCTGCACAAAGCGTCCCTACAGTGCCGCTTGGCAGGACTGAGCAGAAAATATAGGGTTTAGAGATTAGGGTTTAGGGATTAGGGTTTAGGGCTTAGGGATTAGGGTTTAGGGTTTAGGGTGTAGGGTTGAGGAGTTAGGGTTTAGGGTTAAACCTAAACGAAGGCTTTGCCACCTACACTTGCTCATCTTGAGCTCAGAGCTGTTGCTTGTCTTGGGCTCCTGATTCTCGGTTCCCAAAACCCAGTGCCGGTTCTCAGTGCCTCAAGTTTAGGGCTTAGGAGCTAGGGGTTTAGAGTTTAGGGTTAGGGGTTTAGGGTTTAGTAGGGGTCCCTTGTCTGGGGGGGAGCTTGATAGCGGAAATCGTCAGGCTCTACATTTCGACCCCGTGCTGTCTGTCACAACTGTGTTCCTAGAAATGTTGGTGTTAGGTGGTCCCCTTCCGTCTGAAACCGCCAGCTCCTGCCGGCAATAGTTCGGCCGTAACCCCTGAACCCTAAAGCTATTGTACGACGCAAAGACTCGCGCCTTCTAGCCAGCCCCCACATGTGTCTAGGCTGGCCAGCAAGCGGGTGCAGGTCAGATGGAAGCTGTCGGGCTTTCAGGACTAGTCTTGAACTTGCGAGTAGCGTGAGCATCACAAAATCAACATCAGGCCAATGGTCGACCCAGCGCCCTTCGAATACAGATTTGACATGCAGCGCGAGGCGCCCGACTTAGTTGAACATCAAAAACTAGGCCACACAAGTGATCACAGCAACACATGACTTACGCCACCTGACTATGCAAACTTCATGTCACGCGCGTGAACGTGCTGATGCAACATGCATCGATTGAGGGCATCATGGTGCAGAATGGGAATGCTTGAGGAGACCTGATTGAGTTGATGCCGTGGCAGTTTCTTAAGATCTCACTTCACAGCCGCGCAAGCAATAGTAGCTCAGAGACTGTCTGAACTTGTCGAGCCCGTCTTTGTGCGGGGATTCCGCCACCAGGCTGCAGCTCGTCAACCTCGAGCTCGGCTTGCTGCAATTGCATCACTGTCTCCGGAATGCCAATTCAAGCTCCGTATCAGCAGCATTTTGTGGTCTTCTTCTTGCTGTGCTGGCCGAGAGCCTCCTCAAAGGAGCACAGCGCCCCGCATTTCCGCAGCTGCATCAGTGGCTGCAGGGTTTAGGGTTTAGGGGTTTAGGGTTTAGGGACTAGGGATTAGGATTTAGGGTTTAACAAAAACGAAGGCATTCTCATGCGGCGAAGATGGGGGTTTCGGCCGGCGGGGGGCATTCGAAGTGCTGAGCTTCCTCCGTTTCGAGAGCCCCGCCACCGAATTGGCTAAAGATAATGCTGTTAGCGCTAAGTATACTCAGCTGACACCAGAGCTTCTTGGAAAGTAATGTACACCTCTGATTTTTGTAGAGTCCCTATAATTTCTTTGTTCCGGTTTGCACTGAGAACCTACAGCAAAGTAGGTTACTGCCTGCATTGCAGGCCGTGATAGACCATCGGATTTGTAGATAAATGCAGATAAGGCCCAACTCTTGGCAATATGACTCGTTCGTAAATACCCGTATGATGCAATCTACTCAGAGAACCCAATTACCCCTTAATTGAGGAATTCACCTTAAATCATAACATCAAGGCCCCTATAGTTAAGGTATATTCCTTAATTTAGGCGTATTGGGATCTCTGGGTACCTCAAGATCTTGACCTGAGCATTCACTGCACTACTTGAGAGCTTCGGAAAAGGAACACGAATACAGAGCGTGATCCTTCAACAAAAGAACCCCAAGAAACGGTTTTTAATTCCAGGATCGGGATCATAATTATAAATCTTAAACCCTAAAAACTACTTTACTAGGTGCTATTCACTTAAACATGATCCTCCGTTCTTTGTTCGGGGAGCTTTGCCGAAGATCTATTTGGGCTAATGTAGGGGCCTTAATAATTAGCATAAGGTTTTGGGTAGGCTATACTTTACTTATAATTCAGGAGCCTCCCCCCCAAAAAAACAAAATAGTTTAGGCAATTATTAAGGCCCCTACTTGGAGGTTCAGGGTTAGCTATAAGTAAGTTTCTAAGTAGGGCAACTATAGCTATAACCTATGTTAGGGGGACTAATAACTCCACTTATAACTACCCATGAACCTCCAAGTATGCCCCCGTATACCCCCTTATAGGACCCAGAAGCCCCCCGTCGCTTGAGGCTGGGACGGTTCTGCTCATCCCGCCGCTCCTTCACGGTCTCGGCCTTGTTTTCGAACCAAAAGCGGCTCTTTGGTCGAGGGACCTTCGGGCCTTGGGGGTTTAGGGTTTGGGGCTTAGGGGTTCAGGGGTTTAGGCTTTAAGGGGGTTTAGGGGTTTTAGGGTTTAAGGGGTTTAGGGTTTAGGGGTTTCAGGGTTCAGGGGTTTTAGGGTTTGGGGTAGCTTTCGAAGAACAGCAGAAGCAAGAGTGGTTGCGTGATCCGGTTTAGTTGCGCAGAGCGTCGAACTGCGATTCCCTGAAGTTTTGGCGAGAGCGGAAACCTCACACCCTCGACGTCGTAAACTGCCATTGAAAGTTCCCAGACCTCCACAACTCGAAAACGCGGCTCAAGTACATTTAGAAAACCTACAACAATAATGCCTCCAGCTTTTCCCAAAACCGTTGCCAGTGTCAGTTCACGTTGCCAGCACAGAAAAGATGAGACTAACACAATGCCAGTTCTGCAATACTGTTGCACATGCGATGACTTGACTGCTGCTTGGATGGCTGCCTCTGCCAAGGTGCGCTGCTAACTTGACATTGGTGATAACAGTGTTCGTTCAATCACACAATTGGGCCGTGCTGTGGGGACCTCATGCGTCCAATTTCCAAGCGCTACACTCACAATGTGGCTGCCACTCCTGATGCCGTGAATGAGAACAAGGAGTGCTTCCAGCAACAGCAGCAGTGCCCTAATCCCTAAACCCTAAACCGCCGTCGGACAGAACCATTGTGACTGTACTCACGGCCCGCACTACCGTGTGTATGGCAGAAACTTCCTGAAGCACACCCGGAGAGCAATCTCTCACTCGGCAGCTCCCGGGTCCAATGTCCCTTTCTTCCGGACAAAAATCCCCTTTTCGCTGGCTAAGGGACAAGGGGAGCAGGGTTTTGAGGAATCTTACTCTGCAGCCATCGAACCTGAGCAATACTGTTACTACACATTCAGGCCCCTACAGTTGGGATCTCTGGGCTCCGAGCCTCTTCGAGGTATTTGCTGATCTTGCCCCGCAGGCGCGTAATGCGTGGGCCGGCACGGGGATCGTCCTTGCACTACTTGAAATGCGCAAGCTTTTAATTGCACTTATGCTCCAGATATGCTCGTTGGATCATGAGCTGGTCGTGCACAGAAAGCGATTGCTCAGCATGGTTCAAGTTGCTACATCATCAGGTTTTGCATCCTAAGCCCGGAACAGTAGGTCCCTAGACCCTACACCGTAGTCATGATGACGTCATGATCAGAAGCCCTTTGCTGGAACGAAGCATCTTCCCTGTCCTCGGACAGACGCGGCATGACCTGGCACAAATTATGGGAATCTTTCCAGCAGTGCGACTGCGGTCGCATCCAGTCTTAAAAACCGTGTTGCCGCACTCGAATAGGTTCGTTGTACTACAACGAAAACCATCTGAAGAGGACAGGCCATTGACCTGTACGAGTCTTTCTTTCGGTTGTTGCCAGTGCCAGTTAGTACAGCCTATACGAGCTACGGTATCAATATCACACAGCTTTGCGGATTGCGACTCAGACCTTTCGCATGAGGTGTTCACAAGAATATTGGTCCGTGGCAATTTGCTGCTCTCATTCTTAAAGTCTAGGCCGATTCTGTTCGAAGGTTTTCGGGGAGCTGAACAAACAGGATGAAGATCTGTGAGCCTTTGGATCCTGAAGCTTGTTAACATCCCCGCGCTCACAACGCAACCCCCTTTCCAATCTCAGTCAAACCAACTAACTAACTCTCTCTCTCTCTCTCTCTCTCTCTCTGTCCCTGTACATTTAGTCTATGTGTTCATGTATGTAGGAACATATACATATACATATATCTATAAATGTGTGTATGGTTTTCTTTGCCCATTACATGTGTGTCTATAGCTATACCTAGTTCTATACCTATACCTGTATCTATCTATTGGTATATACACATACACACATAAACAAACAAACATATTTTTATACACATGTCTCTGTCCGGCCGTCTCTTGTGTGTCTCACTCTCTCTCTCCCCCCTGTGGTGCCATTCTACTGGTGACCACAAGAGCAGGCTTTGCGCAGGGGCATTTTCTGCGAAGAGCTGATGAGAATGTCTGTTCTACTACTACTACTACTACTACTACTCCTGCTGCTGCTGCTGCTGCTCCTACTACTATTTCTTCGGTTACGGATTAATGTGCCTTTTGGGTGGTCAAGCTTCGGAGCGGCGTGCCTTGAGAAGCAGCTGGATCCCCTCGCAGTAGGACTCGTATGCCTGTGCATTGATGAATGCCGGGGCATTACTAACTACCCCAGGGGTTTGGAATGTATTTTTTCTTTGAACTCTACAAGGTACCCGAAGGAATAGTATCGGTAAGTATTCAGGCTGTTTCATTACACCGATCCCCACTCACACTTCCATGTGCATTCCTCTTCAGGATGCCCTTTCCGTTGTCAAAGTCTTAAGATTCTGCGAAGAATCACGAACACAAAGACTCCAATATCCCCTTATTAAGGA